TTTTCACATATCGACATTTTCAAGGTGTGACTTTGAACTTCCATGGGTTTGAAGACCTTTGCTAGTCTGAATATCCATGATAATTTTATTTCATTATTAAAATTGATGGTCATTATGCATTATGTAATATTGCAACGAAAATGAAGAAACCTCTATTTTGGACACTGCTTTTATAGTGACCATTAAAGAAAAACCATGTTACTTACTCTTCTTAAAACTTACAGGAAAGAAACACAGGTCTAAAATGCAGCCTGTGTTGGAAAAGCAATCTAATTGGTTTCTTTTTCTGTTGTACATGTTTGTGAAGTTGTTATCTTTCATATATTGGCATTTTCAATGTGGGACTTGGAACTCCCATGGTCATGAAGCCCAGTGGTAATCAAATTTTCTAAATGACCACGTTATTAATAAAAATAAATGGTGGTAATTATAGTTAATCATTATGTAATATTGCATCAAAATTGACAAAAAGCCAACTTCGTGCACTGTCATCACAAACGTTATGATAAAAAGCAAACTGTGTTACTTATTATTTTTTTTAGCTTAAAAGAATGATTCTTAGGATTGACATACAGCTCAAATAAGAAAACCAGCTCTATTGGATTATCATTTTTTATTGAATTAACGCAACTTTTTGTGAAATTCTCATTTTTCTCATTCTGGCATTTTCTAAGTATGAACTTGAACTCTCATGGGCCTGCTTTTACTTTCATCGGTATTACCTGTTTTGCATAATTTAAATTTGATGTTGACTTTGCAGTTAAGCGTAATATATTATTGCATCAGAATTGACAGCATCCTATTTTGTGCATTATTACTTTGTGCTTTTCTTAAGATGTGACTTATGGGCCTGAAAGACCTTTGAGAGGGTCAGTCTGTAAATTTCCCTTGGGTATCACTAAGCTAAGTTCAGAGTTATAAAGTCATTTGCCTAATTAATAGGTTATTAAATGAGATTACATAAAGCACAGTTGTTGATATTTCCCTGTAAACTCCCAAAGATTATGCCAGTCTGCTAGATTAATAATAAGGAAGCAGTGATAATTATGCAGGTAAATTTTGCAATATCTCTGGATCCACTCCTGTTATTGACCATGTTACCTGTTGTGCATTATAAAATTCAGTGTTGACTGACAGTGCTATTATAAGCATTATTTATTATTGCATCAAAATTGACAAAATGACCTATTTTGCATCTTTATTTTCTGTTTTTTGTCTGTACATTTGACAGCTTTGCTGCCTTGTATTTTATTAATAAAAATTGATGGTCATAATGCTGTTAAGTATTATGTAATATTGCATCAAAATTGAAGAAAGCCCTATTTTGGGCATTGCCTCCATAGTGACCATTAAAGGAAAACCATATCACTTACTCTTCTCACACTTACAGGAAAGAAATATAGGACTAAAATACAACTTCATTTGGAAAATCTGTCTCATTGGTTATTATTATTATTATTATTATTTTTTGTAAATTATACAGCTTTTAGTGAAAATTTCATTTTTCACATATCGCCATTTTCAAGGGGGGACTTTGAACTTCCATTGGTTTACAGTCACATTTCCTTAATATCCATGATACTTCCATTTCATTATTAAAATTAATATTTCATCACTTACTCTTCTCACAATTACAGGAAAGAAAGAGGACTAAAATACAGCTTCAATTGGAAAAACCTGTTTTATTGGTAAACTCTTCTGAAAATTATAGGGTTTTTTTTTTTTTCAGATTTATATGAAAAAACTGTGTTACTTATTATTTTTTCAACTTACAAGAATGATTCTTAGGATTGACATACAGCTTAAATTAGAAAACCAGCTCTATTGGATTATCATTTTTTATTGAATTAACGCAATTTTTTGTAAAATTTTCATTTATCTAATTCTGGCATTTTCTAAGTGTGAACTTGAACTCTCATGGGCCTGAAGCCTTATGCTTTTACTTTCATCAGTATTACCTGTTGTGCATAATTAAAATTTGATGTTGACTGTGCAGTTAAGCATAATGTATTATTGCATCAGAATTGACAGTATCCTATTTTGTGCATTATTATCTTCTGCTTTTTGTCTATACATTTGACAGCTTTGCTGCCTTGTTTTGTCTTTTTGTTTAGATTTTACCTAACCAATTTAGATCAGTTCAGAAAAATTGAAAAAAAAAAAAAATGCTCTTCATGCCAACAACTAAAAACTGACCACATTCCCATGCAAGATGATAAAAATTCTTACATATTTTCATTATTTTGAAAATGGGATGTGGACCATCTTTTTCAGATTTTAAAACCTGTCCTTGGTAAAATGTTATTTTTTAAAATGAATGCTACATTATCATCAATTTAGAATACAGCAGATGCTGGCTTACCATTTGGTAGCTACAGATCGTCTTAAAGACTTTTTACTGTACATTAGATATTCTTTCACTTTCTTAAAAAGTATACTGAACAAAGTGGATGCCATTTACAGAGACAGGCCATTTATTGCTTCATTATTATTATAGTTTAGCAATGTGTTTGTTGATAACAGGTGGTTTTCGTACTTCTCAAATTACCTCCCCCTTTCAGTTTAAAATCAGCACCCATGAAACTTGGGTACCAGATTAACATTATTAAAGAATATAGCAATAAGCATTTCTTTCTCATATGATAACCGTAATATATGACATACCCTCAATGTACACAGAATGGACATATACAGTAAGACAGTACATATTAAACAGTAAAAACCTCACAACTTTTTCGATTTCTTAAATATTAAAGTAAAAATTAAAGTAAAAATACAGAGAGGCCAGGGCTGCCCCTGACTCGAAATTGTAATATGTCACCCACTTTCAGGTGTGCAATAAGAAGTAAAAAAAAATTCGATGGATGAAAAAAGATGGACAGGGCATAAAATCACTTCAAGCCAGTGAAAAATGCAGTAACTGAAACCAGGAGACCAAAATTATGACGTTTCTGAAGACTGACGATATAATAAGAAAGATTAAATCTGTACTTCAAAATAAATGTTAAATAAGGACGGCATGATGACTAACTGATTTTTAAAAGGGGTGCTGCTGATAAATGCACCAAAAAATCTACAAAAATAATGAACATATTTTAATTCCAATTCACATCCAAAACAGTTGTAGTAATAAGTAAAATTTTATGAATAAGTAAATTTTCAGTTTTGAATAGATTTTGCAATGTAAATGATTTCACCACTGTAAAAATTACAATAAAAAAATAACAGTCCCTTTGGTTTGGAAGTCTGATTATCATATGGCTACTTTTCTATAAAATTGGCACCCTTAATAGTATGTGTTTTGATATAACCTCTAAAACGTTCACACAATAAGTATCTTATATATATATTTATCAAAACAAAAGTGATATTAACATAATAAATATCACAACCTTTTTCACTGATGTTACATGTACAACTGATGCATACATACATACATGCATGTAGTATATCAACAAAGATAAATAAACTGGTATAAATGTCCTAAATTCAACATGTTCATGACTTAGCATGTCTTTTAAGGCTGTGTTTTAATAACATTTAAAGACAGTTGCCATAAGCAATACATGATATATATCACCTAATTCTGCAATACTCCCACAATAGTATCCTACTCTAAAAATATCTTAATGTTAATGTCAATTTGAGACAAAACATATTTATGTTATGTATTTATATGTGAAATGTACTAAAATAATGATTAGAATATCTGGACTGCTATATATGTAATGCAGTGTCTTTTTGCTGCTCATATTGTGTATTCACCTCAAACCTAAAACATGTCAACAATCATGATACATAATCACACACACATATATATATAAAAAATATTGGATTTCTTTCCTTTTTTATCAAGGCATTTAGAAAGTTTAATCAAAAAGGATTCTTATAAATGTCTATTCAGTACATCATAATAGGACATGATCTGTTTTATCTTTCAATTGCACTTGTCTTGTGAGGCTGTGTCCTGTTGAGTTGTCGCATGTGATCACAAGCAGTTCCAAACAAGTAGAACTGGTACTGGGTGAATCATCCTTTAGCGTTACACTGTACTGTTTTCATTTGCTTCAGGCATCAGTTGAAGGCATCCTATCAATATTCTGAAAAGAATATTGACATTGACAATGTTGCAGATCTGGTAACAGCTTCACGTATATTGGGTGGATTAAAATAATGTCCTGGATTTCAAATCTTTACTTCTCAATGTCTATTTAAAATAATCGGATGATGTTTCATCAGAAATGAGAAATGAACTTCTCCATAGTATTCCTGTGACAACAAATGGAACTGAACTAACACTGTGGCAATCAATACAAAAGCCATCTTCCAAAAATTATAAGTTGTGAGGATTCATTGATAGTAGTACACTGTATCTTAGAAAATTTTCTTTGCAATGGTATACTGCTCTATCTCTTCAGTAAATAAATACGTTTTCTAATAAGACCCTTTAATTAGTAACTCGTCAAGAACTATATAGTTACTTTCTCCTCTAAGGCAGATATCTGACACTAAGCATTTCTTACCAAAACGGTCTGTCTTATCCTGATATCAGGCATCCTTTGGTCATCTTCTCCTTGCTGGGGAGGGTCAGTGTACTCTGTAGATACCTCTATCAATGGCTCCTTGGAACTTATGAATGGTCCATGTGTACTGGCTGGAAGGTGAGAAATAATTCAAGTCAAAATGCATAAAGATGGAGCAGTTTGATTGATGTGGTTCGTGAAGTCTCACAATATGGCAAGTTTGAGGAAAGAAAGCTGTGTTACCGATATTATGAAAATTTCCTGAGTTTTCAAAATTTGATAATATATCATACAGACCTCTTGATTGTGTGCCATCTGCATCTTCAACATTGGGAATTTCTCCAGCTTTCATCTGCCGTCTTAACTTTTTCAATTCCTTGCGTCTTCTCCTCTCTTCTGTTTGCCTGTAACCAAATTAAAATGTTCAGATAATGTATTCATGAATGAATTAAATGTGTGAAACACCACAGTCAATTGTCATCTGCATTTTAAAGGCAAAGAGGGAAAATCATTGGACCTTAATACCCTAAAAAACAGATTTTATCCCTGCTTTTGATAAGTCATACAAATACTAAATATCAATTCAACCATAATTCTTTATTTATACAAAACACTGTTTCCAATTGCTCTTTTGCAATTTTCTTTTTAAATTCAAATCCTTATTCATCATCCACAATCACCTTTCATCACTATAATCCTGTGTGTGTGATCTTAAACAATTTTTATCTATGAAGGAATGGGGCATATTTGAGTTGTATGATGGTTTATACAAACCTTTTTTCATCTTGATTAAAAAATAAGCCCCCATGCCCTGCCATAAGTAATTAAAATGATCATAAAGTATTTTGTGCAACTTTTCTGTGAAATAACAATTTTGACAGAAAGTAATATCATTGGAGCACTCACTCTTGCTGGAGGTTGTCCATCTCTGGCAGTGAAGACATCCTAAGCCCAGGTCCAGCCTCAAGAGGAGGAAGGTGGGAACTTGGGCGAGGAGAAATGCCTGGAAATGGATAATGTAAGAATTAATTAATAAAAAAAGTTTGTTTTTTTTTAAATCTTATTTTGCACGGATGTTATTAATATTTGTGCTAAATACTTTGTTCCTTATTTGACCATTGATAATCTAAAAACTGTAATATTTTGGTGATGCATTTTTAATTTTCTATCCTAAATCATTGTGAAAAAGTGGTCAAAACTAATATAATTAAAGTCACAAGGAAAATATAAAAAATCTCAACCATAACCTGGTCCAACTTGGTGTGCTACAATGTTTTGTAACAGGTTTGTTATAGTTGTGATGTCCTGCTTGAATCTGTCCATCATGTCGTCCTGGCGGTCACGAATCCCTCGTATCTCTTCTCTTAAAGAGTCAACTTCATTCTCAAACTTTTCCAATGAGACACAACTCCTTGTATTTTCATCATAAGTGTTGGGATTTCCATAATCATAGCCTCCTCCTTTCTTGGATAGGAGGGAGTCAATACCATCCTAGAAATGTAGCAAAAACACATGTAAGTCAGCTTCATAAAAATGAACCTGGCTACAAAACATTGCTTATAATTCATGGAGACTGAACCTGGTCTATTCTATAGAAGTCTATTCCATAAAACCCTTTTCACATGAAAAAAATTATTACTAATAACAGTGCATTAAAAATAATTCAAAAGCACTGTTTGAACATAGTTCCTGCTACAACCATAAAATAAACCAAATGTGGATTGAAACTTAGTTGAAGAAGAAAGCTATAACCACAGGTTTAGCCATACAGTTTCCTTTCGGAGTGTAAGTTTTGTGTCTAGTTGGAGCAATCACCAGAACTGTTATACTATGAAAGAACAATAAGAATAAGACAGAGCACCCCTTTGGCACCAGGTTTTCCGCCACCACCACCATTACTGCCCCAATAACCTCCACCATGGCCCCCATTATTATTCTCCCACTGTTCTTGCATGTCGTCCAGTTGTTCCTAGAGTGGGAATAGCATTTATTATTCTGTGAGAACATACATTTAGAGCCAAGCTGGTAGCCCCAAGAAAAAGTCTTTAGCAACACTCTCAGTGGAAATGCCATAGGCGGTAGAAAGGTGCGTATATCTGGCATAACAAGATTACAAAACTGAAAAAGGAATGTTTACTATGTTTTGATGTTGCAGTAACACAAATCTCAAGATTTATCCAGTCTAGGTATAAATTTTTACCCATGAAATACTGAAATCACTCAAATTATATACTCAGATATCACTGAGATTAAACACACACACAGGGATGTCATTTTGTAAATGAACTGATCTTGAGTAAACCGGCCATTTCACTGCTTTAAATGGCAGCACATCTGGATACCTTGATTTGTATGGTAACTTTCTTGAGATCTTCCTCCCCATCAGTTGCTGTCAAATCATCATCATAATATGTTTCTTCAACCCCATTTAATTCCTCATGGATGTATCTACGGAATTTTTCCCTTCTTTTATTTGACATTCCTTCTTCTGCAGTCAGAATGTGAATGGCTTTCTGCATCACAGCATTGGCATGGGCATTGTCGTAAACTCTGTGAAGATCAATGAGACCAATATGAAAAATAAAGTGGTGCTTGCACTTAATCTGAAGACAAATACATCCACAAACACACACAGCCACATGCCCATTTTTGCATACTTAAGTAGGAGAAGTCTGATTCAACTGTATAGAATAACTATGGATTTGCATTTGATACATGAAGCAAGCATAAATCAAATGGACTCAAAAGAATACAAACATGTAATTTTACACCTGACTTATATTTTCTGCCTAAAAAACAGCATGACACAGTACCTTTGGAAAGTATCTGATAGCAATGCAATGAAAAGATTCAAGCACAAGATGGCTGATAAAGCCATCCAAGCTGCCACCATAATATCAGCAAACATAAAATCAGCCTTTCTCATTCCCTGAAAGAGACAGAAGAAATACATTCATGACTTTTTAAAAATTTACCTCAATTCACCATACAGTAATAGAACATGCAGTTGCTTTAATTATGAACTGAGGCATAATTTACTTCAATTTTACTTCAACACCCAAGCAGCACTTTTTGATTTGAAGCAAAGTATATCACTCTTAAAACTTTAATATTTACCTCATAGTCATAATCATCCACCATAGAAAGACGGAACATGCTGAATATAAGCTCTCCCACATCCTGAAAGCCTGTTGCTTGGACAGTGAGGTTGCCATATGGATTGGGAAACAGTGTACTATCATCTATGACTTTTGTCCCACCAAACAACATCCAGTATGCACAAGCTGTAGTGAGAGAGAGAGAGAGAGAGAGAGAGAGAGAATTACTGGAACCATGAGGTTTTTAAACAATGTCCATGATCAAAGTCAAGAAAGTAAGATGAGAAATCTTTCTGCGTCATTCGTATAACAGTTCCAGCATTTACGTAATGTTATCATAATACAAGAAAACAGAGCCTGAGATAATCAAGTGGTATACTTACAGAAAGGGATGTAGAACTCCAAGTACAGGAACAGAAATTTGATGACATCCCCCAAAATGTGACCCAACATAACAATAAAGGGACCTAAAATTTAAAAAAATCACCAATAATGGTAATTTTTTAACCCGACTTTCAACTGCAATGTGCAAGCATTGGTCTGTAATGACTACAGGGATTTCCACACTCATGTGGAACAAATGTATATTATGACTCAAGTATCTACCCAAGCATATTTACAGATAAAAAATTTATAGTCTGGGGAATTAATTTCGGTTTACTTAGTTTACTTTCAAGATTCCACATTCTACATAGATCGATCCAATTCCATGGATTAACAGATTAACATGCCTCCTCCTGGCATTGAGTAGAATAAAGAAAAGCTGGTGATTATACAAATACATTGGAGACAAGAGGAGGTGTGTTAATTTGATCATCGGGAGTCGCTGTGGAGTTTGATCTACATGAAACAATGGTTTCATGGGAATGAGCCCTTAGATAAAACTGACACAGTGGTACTTACCCAGCAATGAGAAAGCCTTGGCACTCTTCATCAGACGTAGCCAAATAATAATGATGGACAAAGCATTGATCCGTACCTGCCAGCGAGACAGCATTGCGGTATGGGCAAATACATCCACAAGGTGAATTATAATAGAAATCAGGAGGGAAAAGTAACAAATCCAGTCAAACACATTCCTGAAACATGAAAATAAAATGAATGGGATATATACATATATTTTTATATCAAAGACAAACTTATACATACACATACGGTTTGTTATTAGGTTATTATAAATGGTTTTACAAAAATCGGTTAGGACATTTCAAGGTGCTGACAACTTTTGTGGAATAAATGTCATTTAATTCACATGATCCTGACCTGGAAATATCGTATGTGCCTAGACATGCTGACATACTTGTGTGTTTGCATGTGTGTGTGTGTGTGTGTGTGCGTGTGCGTGCACTATTTTACCAAAAATTACTCCAATAATTTGCCTTCTGCTCATCTAAGTTTTCCATTTCTTTCTCCAAGTATTCTTTTTCCTCTGGCCAACGTGGATGACAAAAGTTGTCTATTTCTTTCTGTAGATCATCTTCTCTCCAACTTTTCCATTGCTGATAAAATAACAAATATCACTTTTAGTTTATTAAACCTATGAATACCCATGAGATCAAAGTGAAGGATGCCATGTTTACCTCATCTGTAAAATAATTAATATAAAACTAAAAAGTTTTGCAGAGAGAGGTTTGTGTGAAAAGACAAGCCACAAAAGATTTTGAAAAATACATTTGTACATGCACTGTAATATATGACTCAATCGTTTCAATGGGTGCAATTATCAATCTTTCTGATACATACTTTAATATTCATAAAAAAATTATATTTCTATATAGTATTTGTATTGCTTTTACTCCATAGAATAGAACTGCCTGCCTGCTTTTCAATTTCGTTGCTATCACTCAACAGGAATGTTGTATTTAAAGAAATTATGACCTAAAAGAAATTGTCTGTAAAATTCATGTTGGAAAGATCTTGCCATTACCGAACATATTTCCCATCAGCAATGAATCTCTGACTGCATTGACTGCAGAGTGTAGATATAAATAGTGTAAAGTGCAGACTACTACAATTATTAGTGGTGTATTAGTTTATAGCAGTTTCTTTTCTACAATATTGTATGTAACCAAAACTGGATACCTGAAACTCTTTATTAGATCCATAGATTTCTCGCATTTCTTCTGCTATCTGTTGTATCCATAAGAGTACACCAACACACTGAAACCAATAAGATACTACATTAAAACAAATAGAAAACTTCCTCAAAGAGAACTCTTGCCTATTAAGTACCCCCCTTATGTCATTTTGAAAAGATTGTCAGCTTTATTAAATACATACATTTAGTTTTGTACAAATGTAAAAAAAAAAGAAAAAAAAAAAAACAATATTTACTAGGAGAGAGAGAGAGATAAAAAGAAAAACAGTAATTTGAATATTTACTAGAATTTAATTTTTCATAGAAAGTGCAAACTGAAATACTCATCCAAGACAAGTTTTCCTGTTTTCAATCTATGCCAGAATAATTACTTTTCTCATAATATATTCAACTAAAATAATTTTTGATATTATTTTTGATATCCAACATACCCCTTACATTCAACACAACATATTAGGTTTATAAAAGTCAATAATTTGCCCACTCTGGCCATTAAAAAATTCTTGAACCCTTACAACTGAATTCTAATAAAATTCTATGATAACCAATCACAAAACATACTAATCACCTACTTTATCTTTATCAATCATATACTTACATAAAGCAAAATTCTCCACCACTGGTCTGGCAGATTGTATATGTAGGAATTCTCTCCATTAATAATACCAATAGCAGTCCACACTATGATAAACACTAAGTTGACAAGAGTGTTGAAGACTGCAGAGGTCCTGAATGAAAAGAAAACATTTTTAATGATGCAATTTTGTTGGTCAGGCGCTTTCAGCTGAACTTTCCAACTTCATATGATCAAATATTGTTATTGAAAAATTATTGCTGGAATATCCATGATGACAGAATGTTATCTGTACCATTGACTGACCTTCCAAACTTTCTCCACTTTATAGCAATGAGCCTCTGCATAACTGGATGCATAAGGATATCATACTGGCGGTACTTCACAGCTACCTGCATCTGCAAGGAAAAACAAACATTTGTCACATTGCTGCAATTGAGACACCACACACTGACAAAATTAAAAAATTATTAAATAAATAATTAATCAAATGAACCAGGATACATATTTGTCTTGAAATATCATGAAGTTACTGTGCACTGAATCTTTATCAAGCATTTTAAAGCTTTACTTACTGCAGTCATTGGATACCCTTTTGTCTCGGTGCCTGAAATAAAGATAAAACTAATAAAGGAGTTGAATTTTTATTTTATCTGTTCCAACCCTAGGTTTTTGTTCAGATTCCCCTTAATATTTTATATGTTTACTTAAGTTTCATAGTGTCAATTGTAAAATATACATATCCATAGCAAGTATAACAGAAAAATACATAAAATTCAATATGAATGAAAACAGAAAATCAAGGATTGAATGATCATTAAATACCATTTCTTAAAACATTAACTGCACACATAAAAACAAGTGAATCATGACACTGAAGGCTTTAATTACCCATACATGTATAAGTATCAAGTCAACAGCAACACTCTAGTGAAACCTCAACCAAGCACCTCAACCAATTTCATAAGATACATGTTCAAGATGGTATATACCAGTAGTGAGTATTTGTGTTAAAAGGTTTTAGTATGTGCAAGTTGCAGCATTTGCTTAAGTGTGGGAGTTATCCCATTAGTTTTTCTCTAATATTCTGCATTAAATAATCTATGTTAGTCCTATTCTAGTACTCTGCATTAAAAATATCCATGTTTACAATGTGTAATGTTAATGTCCATTAGTACTACTAAATAAGAACATGTTTAAGAAAACAAAATTTTGCATGGACTGTCTCCTAGCTGATTATGTAATCAAAAAAAATATATTGTTTTCCTCCCAATATTGATTAATAGGAAATAAATATAACAAATAAGTTCCCATGTTGCTAAATCTCCACTATTGTGTTCCATATATCTAAGAGCTGGTAAGATCCTGTCACCACAATAGAAAGTCAGTGACAATCTATACTAAAGTTGCACAGTTTGACAACACAAGATGCAGGTTGTTAAGATAAAACCAGATTTACCTGTGTCTTTTACATCATGGTCTGTGAAGGGTAAAAGAATCATGTTCATAAAGCTATGGTTCAATATGCCAGTCATGCAGTTAACCCAGCATAATATTAACTATCATTAATCTAAAACTACAAGTGATAAAACAAATATTAAAAGATCTCAAAGCATTTACATATAAGACTTGGTAAATATAGCAACAAAACTGTGATCTTTTAAAGGAGGCCAGGACAACCAAATAGAACATTTAAGTGCATTACTCTAACAGCTACATGAGAGTCTTCTGTGTTATACATTTGGTGGTATTACATCTAAATGTTCACCCAATTCTCCAGTGAATGCATTGACAAGAAAATCCCTTCAATTTTGTTTGAGACCATGAAAGATAGGCAAAGATGATCTCCTGCCAACTCATCCAAGAGCCCTAAATTTGGTCTTGGCTCCACTCTTTTTCAAATCATTATCTAACTATGGTGACATAAAAGTGGTCACACTGACTGGGGAACACACATAGGCCATTTTCATGGCTTTTGAACAGCAAGGGCTTAAATGCCACTTTTACATGTGTCCCTTTAATTTTTTACAACCTAATGTTCAGAACATTATTAAAACCTAATATCTAAAACCTATGTAAATTTAGGTAAGCTTAAATCATTCTTGGGCTTTTGAAATATTCTGTAGATTTTCATGTCTATAGTGCAATCTGAAGATTCTAGCATTTGAACTCTAAATCTTAACTTTCAGGTCATGCAGAGAAGTTCCCAAACTCCCAAATGACCAGTACATAGTTTATTGTTATCTTTCCTGTCTCTAAGACCAAACACCCCCTCAGTCGTTGGAAATCAACCAATGAAGTTCTTAAATATACAAGAGATGGACCTGCCATGCAACTTGATTTCACATTAATTATAAAAGCTTTCATTACAAAAGATAAAAAGATAAAAAAAGAATAGAAAGCAAATGAACAAAATTTACTGAAGGCATTATATGTAGCAACGCTGTAAGAATGTTATGTAAAATTAAATGGCATGTTTTTGAAACACTAGGCAAAATTTAAAAATTAAACAAGGGAGCAAATCTGTTAATACAGGATTTCCCTCTGTAAACTTGCAAATATCATGACAGTAGCAAGACAAGTTTAAAAACAGTCCAGGAAAATGCTTGTAACATTTCACACTGACCTGGTTTCCTGGGCTCAAGATGTTTAAGATAATAATATTGTTTCCTATTAGCTCGATCCTTCACATGAAACTGGTCCAGAGCAACTTTAGCCTAAAAAAGTTAGCATTTTTGAAAATTGCAATTTTAAATAACACTGATTAAGTAAAGAAAGTACAAATCATTGCAAAATTGTGTAAAATGATTATGAGAAATATATCCTATCAGTACATTTACAGTGAATACGAAAGTTATGCTCAAAAAGCGTAAATTTGTACGGAGAAAAAAAAAAAGAAAAAAAAAAAAAGATAGGATAAGTTATAAATCATCAAAACTAAGAAATTTAGAACAGATAGATTTTAATGTTTTACACTTACCACTGGTGCCATCTTGGTGATCATCCAAGCTACTGCACCTTCTCCGTAACAGTCAGTCACGCCAGCTGGAGCTCCCATTTCCATAAGTGTACGAGCTGTCTCACTGCGATCTGGAAATTAAATGTTACATGCCACTAGAGTAACAAAATAGATCAAGCACAAGCTGGGTAAGTTTTAACTGGATAAGTCAGGAAGAAAGAGAGAAACATGAGATAATTCATGGAGGTTCCAAAAATGACCAAAGGAACTATGAAATGTGCAGCAGAGCCATTGATACAGTTTTCTGAATTGAAGGAAATTGTGGAGCAGCTTTTGGTCGTGAAAGAACAATTATCCAAACAGCCAAAATAAAAAGCATTTCATGGAATATTCTGCACTCATCAAGTTAATTTCCTTACTTTTCCTTTCACCTCTGCATTACATTTGTCCATGTGTTACAGATGTTAATTCTCATGACACAATTCAGACTTACCAAGCTGTGCTGCCAACATCAAAGGTGTCCTCTGTTTGTGATCTCTAACCTGTTTATATTCACATCCATTCTTAATTAGGGCAGTGAGGGACTTCACGGCATCATTTCTAGCGGCAAAATGGACAGGTGTCTGCAATTCCTTGCTTTTGGCCTCAATGTTTGCTTTAAAAAGGTGCAAATTATCACAGATTAACTCTTATCAAAATAAGTTGAAATAGTTAGCAGTTTTACAATCAAATTGCTGTTGAGTGTCCTGAATCATGCACTATAGAAATAACATGTTTATTTCAATTTTCATAATCTGCATTGCATTTTTATGACAGTAATGCTGTTGGACTGAAGATCCTCCACATTGTCCCCTCTCCTTTTTTTTTAAACGTAGATACAGCTTTTTGATCCCTCCCAATGAGTAATGGCCCACAAATCTACATATCATATACTAGTACTTTAATTTGCCCTAAACTGTAACTTTTGTTGAAAATTTTCTGAGGAAACATGGAAGTGAAGAGTAGTGGTGGATCAACAGCCCCTTTCACTTTTGTGATACTAAAATGGAAGAGAGTTTTGTATAGACGTCAAAAGAAAATAAAGAATGGTGATACGTTTATATATGTAAATCAAATACTAACCCCCATTTGCAACAAGGAAATTGACCATTTCTGCATAATCAACAGAAGCTGCCACATGGAGTGGTGTCCTTCCAAAGGCATCAGGTTGATTAACATTGGCATGATGTTCAATCAGAAACTTTGCAACATCTACATGCCATGCTCTTGCAGCCTGAAACAAAGAGATAAATAAAATATACTTACTAGACTTACTAGAAAAAAAAAAAAAAAAAAAAAAAAAAAAAAAAAAAAAAAAACAAAGGCTTAATTGTCTTAAAATGTAATATCAATCCAAGCTGTTATTAACAAACAGAAAAAAACAGCATTTAAAATTTTAATAATGAAAAATATATATAATGTATAACTGAAAATGTTTCAGATTTTGCTTCACTTTATTCTAGCACGCAATCTTTTAACCATATACCTCATGTAGTACTGTCTGCCCCTGTTTATCTGTGCAGTCCACACGTGCTCCTGCCCTGATCAAGTCCTCTACATAGTCTAAATCAATGGCCTCATTCTCGTCTCCAGAACACCCAAGTTTGGCAAAATAGTGAATCAGTGCTCTGTTATGTTCCACTGATGATGGTTTACTGCCCTGAGACAAAACTTTGGATAGAAATCCTGGGTCTACTTCTCCCAGGCCGATATCCTTTTGAGGTTTATGGTCTTCTGTATCATTATCTCCCTCATGATGCACAACTGAAGTACATATACATCAAAACTGTTTTAGAACTGCTTTGGACAATTTACATGTGCATTCTTGTATTTTTGTATTGCATCAAAAAATCATTTAAAAGATCATTTTTCTTCAGTAAGTTAAGACAAAAGATCATTTTTCTTCTGTAAGTTAAGACAAAATTCACATTTTAATGAGAAAATTAACATATTTATCAATCAAAAGATTGTATTAAAATGCAAATTAACAAGTAGTTGTTATTCATTAATATTAAAAAAAAAACTTTTATAACAAAGCCTCATAAAATAGATAAATTTACTCTGAAAACTGCCAAGCGTGAAAAAAGCAATTCATATTCTAAAACACTAAAACAATGGAGGCATGGCAAAGTAACAAGCTCATATATTAAAACAGCAAAAAAAGCTGTCAGTCAAATATATATCTACTTGCTTTGCATTCTATACAAAATCTGGACACAATACATATTATATTTTGTGAAATTGTAGCAACATATTCACAAAGCAGTGATGAGTTTCACAATATGACTGTTCCTCATTTGCATGGTAAAAACCCTTCTTTCAAGTATGCAAGAAACCAAAAAGAAGCCAAGAATTTTGCTAAGAGTGTAAAACATTCCCAAAAAGCTATTTGACAAATATTACAAAGTTTACTTTATGTAGTCAACTTTTCTATTTTTGCACACTAATAAATGTCCTAAAACCTTGAACATTTTGTGAAACAAAATGTTAGGACAAAAAGTTACATCTGTGTCTAATTATCATTACAATATTGTTTATGTGGAGTGCATCAGTGTTGAGAATCCCTGCAAATGCAGGAGGTCATAATAAAGATCAAGTCATTTTAGTTAAAATACAAAAACAATCAGTGTAAGGGGTATGTACATGTATCAGACACTGTGATTAGATGGAAGGCTAGAGAAAGGTTATGTCATTACATCCATTTTACAATATATAACAGTTTCTCGGGGGAAAACAAATTTTAAATTTGACACAATGTTATATATTAGGAAGCATCACAAAGCTTAAAGCAGTATCTATTACCTTTCCATTTTCTTATATCTGGATAAACAAAAGAAAGGGAAGATATAGAAAGAAGCGCTGCATGTACAACTACTAATACACATGCATTTCACATTTTGCATTCAGATTAGGCATAAAGACTTTTCTCTTTTTCAACTGAAAAAAAATAGCAAAATTAATTTTTTTTAAACAAGTGGAGAAATTACTGATAAGTTACATTTTGAAAAATAAATGTTGCTAATTTTCTACAATTCACCTAATTTATTAGCAAACAACTGCATCCTCAAGCTTGTTTTCAGGGACTTAGTCACTGCTACAGTGGTGGATTTGTTTACTAGCCTCATAATTCTCTTCCTGCTACAAATGAACGTATAAAATTTTTCNATATGAATACCCATTAGATCAAAGTGAAGGATGCCATATTTACCTCATCTGTAAAATAATTAATATAAAACTAAAAAGTTTTGCAGAGAGAGGTTTGTGTGAAAAGACAAGCCACAAAAGATTTTGAAAAATACATTTGTACATGCACTGTAATATATGACTCAATCGTTTCAGTGGGTACAATTATCAATCTTTCTGATACATACTTGAATAATCATAAAAAAATTATATTTCTATATAGTATTTGTATTGTTTTTACTCCATAGAATAGAGCTGCCTGCCTGCTTTTCAATTTCGTTGCTATCACTCAACAGGAATGTTGTATTTTAAGAAATTATGACCTAAAAGAAATTGTCTATAAAATTCACATTGGAAAGATTTTCCCATTACCAAACATATTTCCCATTAGCAATGAATCTCTGACTGCACTGACTGCAGAGTGTAGATGTAAATAGTGTAAAGTGCAGACTACTACAACTATTAGTGGGACATTAGTTTATAGCAAAGTTTCTTTGCTACAATATTGTATGTAACCAAAACTGGATACCTGAAACTCTTTATTAGATCCATAGATTTCTCGCATTTCTTCTGCTATCTGTTGTATCCATAAGAGTACACCAACACACTGAAACCAATTAGATACTACATTAAAACAAATAGAAAACTTCCTTAAAGAGAACTCTTTCCTATTAAGTACTCCCCTTATGTCATTTGGAAAAGATTGTCAGCTTTATTAAATATATAAATTTAGTATGGTACAAATGTAAAAAGCAATGTTTACTAAAATTTAATTTTTCATATAAAGTGCAAATTGAAATAACTATCCAAGACAAGTTTTCCTGTTTTCAATCTAAGTCACAATAATTACTTTTCTCATAATATATTCAACTAAAATAAATTTTGATCATGTTTTTGATATCCAACATACCACTCTGGCCATTATAAAATTCTTGAACTTTTACAACTAAATTGTAATAAAATTCTATGATAACCAATCACAAAACATACTAATCACCTACTTTATCTTTATCAATCATATACTTACATAAAGCAAAATTCTCCACCACTGGTCTGGCAGATTGTATATGTAGGAATTCTCTCCATTAATAATACCAATAGCAGTCCACACTATGATAAACACCAGGTTGACAAGAGTGTTGAAGACTGCAGAGGTCCTGAATGAAAAGAAAACATTTTTAATGATGCAACTTTGTTGGTCTGATGCTTTCAGCTGAACCTTCCAACTTCATATGATCAAATATTGTTAATGAAAAAATATCGCTGGAATATCCATGAAAACAGAATATAATTATCTGTATCATTGACTGACCTTCCAAACTTTCTCCACTTTATAGCAATAAGCCTCTGCATGACTGGATGCATGAGGATGTCATATTGGCGGTACTTCACAGCAACCTGCATCTGCAAGGAAAAACAAACACTTGTCACATTGCTGCAATTAAGACACCACACAATGACAAAATTTAAAAATTATTAAATGTCTAATTTATTAAATGAACCAGGATACATATTTGTCTTGAAATATCAAAGAAGTAACTGTGCACTGAATCTTAATCAAGCATTTTAAAGCTTTACTTACTGCAGTCATTGGATAGCCTTTTGTCTCGGTGCCTGAAATAAAGACAAAACTAATAAAGGAGTTGAATTGTTATTTTATCTGTTCCAACACTAAGATGTGGTTCAGATTCCCCTTAATAATATATATGTTTACTTTAGTTTCATATTGTCAATTGTAAAATATACATATCCATAGCAAGTATAACAGAAAAATACATGAAATTCAATATGAATGAAAACAGAAAATCAAGGATTGAATGATCATTAAATACCATTTCTTAAAACATTAACTGCACACATAAAAACGAGTGAATCATGACACTGAAGGCTTTAATTACCCATGCATCTATAAGTATTAAGTCAACAGCAACACTCTAGTGAAACCTCAACCAAGCACCTCAACCAATTCCATAAGATACATGTTCAAGATGGTATATACCAGTAGTGAGTATTTGTGTTAAGAGGTTTTAGTATGTGCAAGTTGCAGCATTTGCTTAAGTGTGGGAGTTATCCCATTAGTTTTTCTCTAATATTCTGCATTAAATAATCTATGTTAGTCTTATTCTAGTACTCTGCATTAAAAATATCCGTGTTTACAATGCAAAATGTTAATGTCCATTTAGTACTACTAAATAAAAACATGTTAAAGAAAACAAAATTTTGCATGGACTGTCTCCTAGCTGATTATGTAATCCAAAAAAATACAGTTTTCCTCCCAATATTGATTAATAGGAAAGTAATATAACAAACAAGTTCCCATGTTGCTAAATCTCCACTATTGTGTTCCATATATCTAATAGCTGGTAAGATCCTGTCACCACAATAGAAAGTCAGTGACAATCTATACTAAAGTTGCACAGTTTGACAACACAAGATACAGGTTGTTAACATAAAACCAAATTTACCTGTGTCTTTTACATCATGGTCTGTGAAGGGTAAAAGAATCATGTTCATAAAGCTATGGTTCAGTATGCAAGTCATGCAGTTAACCCAGCACAATATTATCTATCATTATAATCTAATACTACAAATATTAAAAGATCTCAAAGCATTTACATAAGACATGGTAAATATAGCAACAAAACTGTGATCTTTTAAAGAAGGCCAGGACAACCAAATAGAACATTTAAGTGCATTACTCTAACAGCTACATGAGAGTCTTCTGTGTTATACATTTGGTGGTATTACATCTAAATGTTCACCCACTTCTCCTGTGAATGCATTGACAAGAAAATCCCTTCAATTTTGTTTGAGACCATGAAAGGTAGGCAAATATGACCTCCTGCCAACCAAGAGCCCTAAATTTAGCCTTGGCTCCACTCTTTTTGAAATAATTTTCTATGATGACATAAAAGTGGTCACACTGGCTGGGGAACACACAGAGGCCATTTTCATGGCTTTTGAACAGTAAGGGCTAAAATTCCACTTTTACATGTATCCCTTTTTTACAATCTAATATCCAGAACATTATTTTAAAAAACCTAATATCTAGAACCTATGTAAATTTAGGTAAGCTTAAAGCATTCTTGGGCTTTGAAATATTCTGTAGATTTTTATGTCTATAGTGCAATCTGAAGATTCTAGCATTTGAACTCTAAATCTTAACTTTCAAATCATGCAGAGAAGTTCCCAAACTCCCAAATGACCAGTACATATAGTTTATTGTTATCTTTCCTGACTCTAAGACCAAACTCCCCCTCAGTCATTGGAAATCAACCTTGAAGTTCTTATATATACAAGAAATGGACTAGCCATGCAACTTGATTTCACATTAATTATAATAGCTTTCATTACAAAAGATAAAAAAAAAAGAATACAAGGCAAATGAACAAAATTTTCTGAAGGCATTATATGCTGTAAGAATGTTATGTAAAATTAAATAGCATGTTTTTGAAGCACTAGGCAAATTTTTTTAATTAAATAAGGGAGCAAATCTGTTAATACAGGATTTCCTTCTATAAACTTTGTATAAGCATGTTTTTGAAGCACTAGGCAAATTTTTTAAATTAAACAAGGGAGCAAATCTGTTAATACAGGATTTCCCTCTGTAAACTTGCAAATATCATGACAGTAGCAAGACAAGTTTAAAAACAGACCAGGAAAATGTTTGTAACATTTCACACTCATATATAATTACCTGGTTTCCTGGGCTCAAGATGTTTAAGATAATAATATTGTTTCCTATTAGCTCGATCCTTCACATGAAACTGGTCCAGAGCAACTTTAGCCTAAAAAAAGTTAGCATTCTTGAAAATTGCAATTTTAAATAACACTGATTAAGTAAAGAAAGTACAAATCATTGCAAAATTGTGTAAAATGATTATGAGAAATATATCCTATCAGTACATTTACAGTGAATATAAAAGTTATGCTCAAAAAGCATGATTTTGTATGGAGCAAAAAAAAAAAAAAAAAAAAAAAAAAA